GCATTCCAGAGGGCAAGAACGTCGTCATCAAATGGCGAGGGAAACCCGTTTTCATTCGACACAGAACCCCAGAAGAGATCGAGGAAGCTCGGAGTGTTAACTGGAAGAGTTTGCGAGACCCTCAACCTGACGAGGCGCGGGTCAAGAAACCGGAGTGGTTGGTCATGCTTGGTGTTTGCACCCATCTTGGTTGCGTCCCTATTGGCGAGGCGGGCGACTATGGAGGGTGGTTCTGCCCATGCCACGGTTCGCATTATGATATCTGTGAGTGCTGCCCGGGCAACCAAAGTGCGTCCGTACCTAATGTTTCATCCCCTAGCTGGTCGCGCGCGTAAGGGACCTGCCCCCGTAAGTCTGTTCGGCGATGAGATGTCTTTGACCTGACCTTTTTATTTAGCTTAACTTGGAAATTCCTCCTTATGAGCTGAACGAAGGTGATAACAAGCTCGTTATCGGATAACAGTCAATACCGCTGCATTCATGTAGTAGCCCCTCGTATACATGCGTAATATCGTTGGATTGTCTTCATAAACCAGTACAACGCGCAAAAAGAAAGTAGCCACGACAAACTGAAGTCAGGGTATATGTGAGGGCACATCCATCCACTTATGACAGGAAATCGGGACGCTGAAAGTACGGCAAACATCAGTGGGCCAGACTGTCATCAGGACCCGTCTGGATTGTGGAGAACCATCGGGTACCGACTAGTCATTTCACTGATGAAGACGACCCGCGTCTGCCAAAGAAACGTGCAATTCCACCCATCTTGCTATCCTTCGCAGGTGATTCTTCGCCCTTGAGAACATTGCGAGACGCGCTGCGAGTAATTCTGCCCCATACGCTCGGTGCAGTAGCAGATATCGCTGTACTGGGCCTTTCCGTATGGGGCGAGGATGAAACAAGAGATATTGACATTGAACGCAAGCGCCGGCGAATCGGGATTGGGGCGGAAGTGGAGACACGCTGATCTTCCAATGGAATGGTCGGTTGTTGCTCCAATTCCTGCATTTGCGACGATTTGGATCGCGAAGATTCTGAAGATGTACTTGGTGAAGACGAAAGGGGCGGAAGTAATGATCCTGGTATATCTTGTTCCCCTTCATCTTTCAAACCTGCAGCGTCCTCTACAGCGTTCAGAAGAGCGCCTGTGCCTGGTGGATTCTTTGCGGCTATAGTGACACGGGGATCAGAAAGGTCTTCCTCCAGTCCATCTTCGGGTGTCACCAGCTCGATTGATGGGTGAAAATCTTTGCGTGATAGAACGGAACGTTGGAAGGAGTCCAATTCGAAAGTTCCCTTAAGGCTAGGTGATGACGAGAAGTTCCTCCCACCCTGAGGTACTCTCGAATTGACCACCCCATTTACGGATGGGGAGATGGACCCGACTACGGACAAGCTGAAATCCCACGAATCCATCGTACCATGGCTCGTAACACTCGGAGGAGATTGGCGTCGCTCCTGACGCACCGCGAGAGGCGGAAGACCGGCCAGGATCGTCCCTATGAGGTACGACTTCTTCTTTGCGCTTTTGAAGAATGGCGTCTGCAAGAGCTGCGCAGCTGTCGGTCTGACACAAAGCTTTGGTAAGGCGACGTCAGGTGGCTGAGTATCACGCACCGCTTGGCAGGGTCCTTTGTAAGGCAGGCGTCAACAATGTCTTTAAATGTTTGGGAGTACCGGTGAACGCCACTCTCTCGGTCCAGGGTAGGTGGCTTGCCCTGGACACTGTAATGTGGGCAAAATGAATATCGATTGGGGATTTAAGGACGCAGGAAAGACTTGCATCTGCAACAAAACAGAATGAGGGCTTTCACGCGACCTTGGAGGCCGCCCTTGCGTCAATTCGATACAGGTTATCCCAAACGACCATATGTCGGCTTTGACGTCGTACCGCTTTCCTTCGATAAGTTCCGGAGCCATCCAACACGGCTGTGGCGCCGTTAGGACCTCAAACGCGAAGGGAAGGGATCATTCACACCGTCCCAACAAACGATTTCCGCTTTCCCACTTGGGGGCGTGACCGCCCGGTGACTGAAGTCAATGGTGCTTGAACACGGTCAGGATTCTTCGTTCCCCCCTCAAAATTTGGGGTGGGCCAATAAGGGGTGTCTGTCTCTTCCGTGAGAGATGCCGCTACACCAAGATCACCCAAGAGAACAGTGCCGTCATCATCGAGTAACAGGTTAGCTGCCTTTACGTCGCGATGAATGAAGCCGTTCACATGCAGGTAACTTGAGGATTGGTGGATGAGAATCCACAAAGCGCGAGATGCCATGTACATACTTTAGTCCCTCAAGGGCCTGCTTGAGGATGCATTTGACGACTTCTTCTTCCATGCCACCTGGCCAACCGTAGTGCATGATGTCCGCAGCACTCCCTTTGTTCATGAGACGAAGGGCAATGTGTAATTTGTGGCCGTCAATCCACGAGCCACGTACACGTAGGACGTTCGGGTGTTTCGAGAGAGACATGAGTTGTGTTTCACGTTGCAACAAAGACAGAGGACGGGGAGGGAGGATATCGAGGTCAAGAACCTTAAGAGCACATTGTATCGGACGTTGCGGAGGCGGGGGACGGTAGACAGCGTCATAAACAATGGAAGAAGCTCCAAAACCTATGGGTGCGCCGACGCTATAATCCCGAGGGCGGTCACTGAGGTCCTTGAAGTGAGGTTGAGGGGTCTACATGGGCAAATTTGAAGGATACCTAAACATCTGCCACTCATCCTGGACAGCACCGATAAACTTCCTAGACAAGCTGGCCATGGCTAGCCCACAAGATAGTGGTGGTAACAAGAAGCAATGCTTTACCTAGAGATGAGGGGACCTTGCAACGAGTCCTGCACGTAAACAACATATAGGGTCTTGGTGGAGTGGATAATTTCATAAATGGGAACCGGGGACTTGGCAGGGCCGGCACTTGGCCGGGTTTGGGGGACGCCTTGAAACGCTGTCCAATCGGGAGACTATCAATATTAATGACGCATCAAGGGAGCAGCGTATGTTCATATCCCTCATGTACTATCTCATTATCGTACTGGTGCTCTGAAATCTAAAGCCTGCGGCGCTGGATAGATAGATGTTTCAACGCATCGGCAAGCACATCTTCCTCCGCCGAAAGTGAGGGACTAACGGGTACTGCGAGCTGAGCACCTTTCAAAGTGTCCTCACCACTGGGGATCAAGCTCGCCGTAACACCGGTCCTCTGTGCTCCAGTCATCTGTCGAGCGAACAACGGAACGAGTTTGCCGACCTTACAAACTCCACACGCTGGCCAAAAAAAAAGGATCATCACTACCCAAAGACGTGGAAATCTCGTACAAAGACTTACTACATTCCTCTGGTTTTATGGACTTGGAGTATCTACCATACCTTAACCAATATCATTATGCCTTGCATAACTTTTAAAGACATTCCACTTACACTTTTGAGCACAGGGTACATCCTATCAGATAGTTATCAGTAACCATTCTCATCCTGACAGAAGAAAAATACACCAACTCCACTGATAAGGGTGCATGATCTGGTAGTTGTGACGAGTCTTTCCGTGGCAGTCAGTACATCGTCCAGGCGGTAGGCGAAACTCTCTCTCACTGAAACTTGGATGTCGGGGTACCTGCATGTGATTTTGCTCGCCCTCGATTAGAAGTCAGTCACATTTTGCATCGATACCTCGAATCCGAGCATACCACGATTTGAACAGTTGCCCGTGTCCTTCCTGCGGACTGTTATTGATTACCCAGCATGCCAAATGGCACATCTCATGGGAAAGAGTATTGCGAATACGTTCTATGGACATGTCGGTCGCTTCGGCCCGGGCAGTCGTCCAACACGCTCGACTTACCATCACGGTCCAAAATCTTGGTGGCAAGTTCAATCTTCGTGGTCTGTATACCATCTCGCGAACTGCATTCACAAATGTATTGGCCCATGATTGCCAGAGTCAAACGATACCCACCGGTACCAGCGCGCTCGCCCTGCTGTGGTCAATAACCGTTTGTTCCATTCTAATTTCGTATCCTTTGGAAGTCCATCGCCGAAGACTGTGTGGTTGAGCTCTGCAAACAGAACTGCTGCGTATTTCTCCCTCTGAAACTGCTCCGCTGCATCTCGCACTTTCTTTGATATTTTTGTGGATGACTTTTTAACGGAGGTAAATGACGCTTTTTTCCGCGGAGAGCGTGCTAGAACTGGTGAAGTATCACTGTGCCCTTCTAGTGCTGTAGGCAACTCGCTGCTCTGTGGTATTTTCCGTCGGGTAATTCATCGTTTCTGGCGTTCGCGACGCCGGGGAATTGTCGCTGTATCCAAATACACATTTGGATCAAGGGCATCGGATTGGACGGAGGGGCACATACAGAGTGAAAACGACATCGTCCTCAGAGCCATCGTCACTCGTGTCGGCGTAGAGTGGCATATATTTCCGTGTAGTGGGGCTTGTTCTCCCTGGAGTTTTCGGATGACGTGGTCGGGTAGCTGTCGGGGACAGCAGGTCAGGAAGCTCCAGAGACGTGTCGCTGTCTGTCAGCTCGATTACATTCCTACGCGCCAAACCATCCGTGTTTCTGTCGAATGGAAGTGGAGTTGTTAGAAAGTCGTGGACGGCTTGACCGATAGGGCCTCACGTAGCGCATTGAGCGCTGTTAAACAAGGAAAATGAGGCTCGTAGTGACGCCGATGGTTATTCCAAGGACGTACATATCAGCATCTGAGTCTGACGAGATCTCTATGACTTCTATCGGTGGGTTCACTGTACATGCCCTAGCACGCACGTAGACACGGATTAGCTTAAGTTAGCACGATGACAATGTCCAACTTGCCGCAATTCCTCTCCATCCCTTGAAAAGTTCGGCTTGCCTGAGTTCCCTGGCATTTGATCCGTGTTTTGCTTTGGCCCGAGCCTTTCTCAGATCGACGGCACGCGTCGCGTTTGGTCCCGTGACTCAAATTCAACCTTGGAGGTTTGTGGACTTGCAAAGATTTAATTCAAGAGTATTCATTGCCCGCCTAGCTCAATCGGATAGAGCGTCAGACTTTTACGGTCGTACGTGGCGGTGATCTGAAGGCTGCGAGTTCGACCCTCGCGGTGGGCTATCATTTTTTTCTTCTTTTGTAATAAGTCAGTGGTCATTGACTCGGCTGGTGGGACTTCGTAAGCCTTATCTATCGCACATGATGAATTCTCGTGTTTCAGCAGGTGAAGTAAGGCGGACTAGGACAAAGGAAACAGACAGATGCATTTCGCAAAAAAATCGATCACTAAGCAATCCCACAAGTTATAGACCTACATGTTGTTCCTTGTAACGTGGGCGTTCTGGAAACCTTGCAAGTATCTGGAATGCCAAGTGCAAATCACCACGGAAATCTACAGTTTTCTGTAATACACGGCATATATATATGGACTGCTCGAGATACAGGAAGCTTAGGAACATATGGAAGAACTCCGGAGATTTATACACCAACCCTACGCATACACGATCTTGAGTGAAAATACCATGGGAGAAGTGCTCATTCAGGCTCACCTGTGTACGACTTTTTTCTGCGACCCAGCTGGTCAGTAAGTTGGGGGAGACTCGCATACATCCATGCTTACCTGACTTGAGTATCTGATTACCTCCCGTTTCTCCAGGATGTAGAGGGTGCGTTCAAGTGCGTGGCTCGAGTAGCCCTGCTGAGTCACGAACTCACGGACTAAACTCTGATAACTCGTGCTCCATCCGACAGGGAGCCGTCTTCGAAGTTCCTTCTCTATTCGGGACATCTCTTCATTGAGCTCACCGCGTGACATGCCGTCCACTGAACCAGCTGACACGGCATCCATGGTCGAAAACTTAAAGAGCCGTATTGCCTCTTCCACATGGAAGTTTTGTACAACAGTGGAAAGCGTAATCTTGGCCAGAGATTCGGATATGCGAATGATAGCTTCGAGTTGTCTGAGCACCTCATCAATGATAGAAGTGGCTACCTTTCATTGGGGACTAACCGCACAGTGATGGGTATAGAGCTCCGTTCGTCATTGTCGCGCTCCACTTGTTGCACCTGCTTTCGCAAACTCACAAAATGGCTGCTCAGCATTTCCTGCGCTTCAGATGAAAGTCTGGGTGCGCATTTACTAAAGAGAGGCTTAAGAAGGTGTTAGACGACTGAAGGATAGGTCACTCGCCTCTTACAGTAGGCAATATATCGCCTCATTTTGTCGATATCAATTTCACCCACAGCCTCGCCATTCTCATCGGTATTCTGGTTTGGTCTATTCATATGGATGTTCATGACGTGTTTGGCGATCATCTACTAGGGTCTCAAGGCGCCCAAACCATTGAACAGATTGAGAGACATACCCTGTCCCGCTGTTCATTGTGTTCATCCTTGACGATGAAGATCATGTCAAAACGTGACAAAATCGTGGTTTGGAAATCGATGTTCTGAAAGGGAAAGATCGCATCGGCAGAATTTTGAACAGTTCACGGTTATTTTACTTCACCAGGACTCCGCCCTTCGTCGTAGCGACCCCATACAGGATTTGCTGCGGCAAGAACACTTGTCCGCGAGTTCAACACAGTGGTAATGCCAGCTTTCGCGATCGAAATGGTTTGCTGTTCCATGGCTTCGTGGATGGCAACTCTATCCTCGTCGCGCATCTTATCAAACTCGTCGATGCACACTACCCCGTTGTCGGCAAGTACCATGGCCCCGCCTTCAAGGTAGAATTCACGCTATCGAGCTTCCTCAACTGAGCTGCACCCAATTGTCTCATTGAACTGACTTACAGAGATGGCATCACGTTGGACTGAAGCCGTCAAACCAGCAGCACTCGAGCCCTTCCCTGACGTATAGACCGCAATCGGCGCGACCTCGTAGCAGTATTAGTCACGAACTCGTGACTTGATCACAAGTAAACTCACCTTCTCAACGAATTTCAGCAACTGACTTTTTGCTGTACCAGGATCGCCCAACAAAAGGACGTTGATGTCTCCTCTTAGACGCATGCCATCAGGCAAGACCTTTTTAGAGCCTCCAAATAATAGGCAAGTGATAGCTTTCTTGATGTCTAAATATGTCCTCAGGTCTCTTCTTCTTGTGCGCGCAAACTAACAACTGACCGAGGCAACCGAATATACTAGGAGCCACACTCTTCGCAAACCGTTCATAAAAATTGTCGCTCCTCGCCATTTCAGCGAATTCTTCCTCTTCCTCTGGGCTGAACTGTGTCCCGAATGGATTTGAGGCGCCCCCAGCCGATGGTGACGACATCTCAATGTGTACAAGGCGGAGATAAGGTTGTCGAAGTGCAGCAGGTCCAGCAGATTTCTGAAGAAGGATCATCGTTAGTTAAGTCACGCGCAGACACCGAAAACATACGTTGCGAGAGGAATTGAACGTCGAGTAGATTCCTGTGGCAATAATGCGCGAACCGGGGACTACCTTCCCAGTGAGGTACCTATCCGCAGAAAGTAGCATATGACGAGGCATTTCTCCCACAGGTACCATGTCTGGGGCCTCTTGAAGTTTAAGGGTTTGCTGATCTACGAAGGTAGACTTGTTATGATTTATCATGTAAGGGTCCAAAGGGCAATCTTTCTTTTGGTTCTCTAGCTCGGGAGCGTCACAGGTTCTCGGGAGGCCGCGATCCGATCCACTCCCCAGTCCACCAAGTCCACCCGGGGGGTATACAATCTTAGTAGATTTACACGCTCGACATTGGAGGTGAAGCTTCGTGGCTCGAGAAGACAGTACGGAAGCAGATATCACGATGCCGGGTATGCGGACAAGTTTGTTCATGGTGTCAGCTGTTAGATCACGAAATCGTTGCATATTCAACCCTGATTGTATCATGATCTGAATTCTGGGAATGGAATGTAGTGCAGCTTCCGCTCGATCGTCCGAGCCACCGGCAAGGGGGAATAGTATCGTCCGAGCTGCCTTCGTGGTTGCATTTTCAAACTGAGCAGAGAGGGTCAATTTCCCGCAGACCTGAAGGGTGGGGCAAGTTACCAATGGCAGAATGTCTGTAGGCCGATCTTGCACGGCATGGGCGAGTTCATCGTTATACAAGCTGAGATGGCGGAGGTCCACTTCAAGTTGATATTGCTTCAGTAACAGGTTCGCGCGCAACTTGTCTCTACACGAGAGTTCAATACGTTTTGGTGATTCATTGCTTGCATGCACTGACCTATAGACGAATTCTTCTCCGACTCTATACTGTAACAAAAAGTCCAGAAGCAGTTTTTCTAATTGCGAGGGGGTGTCTGTAGAGGGAACGGCAGGCCTGTCCCGCACGGACACCGAAAAGACATGGTTTGCGTCGAAACCGGACATGACAGGCGAGAACGAGTGAAGAGCTTATGCCTTGCATGCAGACGCGACAGCCGAATGAGTGAAGGGCAGGCTGTTTCGCGCCTGACCGTGGCTAAGGGGCCGTATTGGCGGGCGAGCAACTGTCTACCGTCTCCCGTTTAGCTCAGTTGGTAGAGCGCGTCACTAGTAATGACGAGGTCAGTCGTTCGAGTCGGCTAATGGGAATTTTCTTTTTCTATCCAGCGGAGGGGGGCCCCTTTTCACAGTGGCCACCAACACAAATAACTGTTGTCGGGAGATCTGTCCTCGCCACAACATGACATCCATGGATACCGACGAACAGTCAGTTGTATTGTCCTCCAGCGCAACTTCAGGCCTTTCGCTTTCGTTGTACGCTCTTTTGCCGTCCCAAGAAGTGATCTGAGTTGATAACAACGCGTAGACACCCCTTACCCATCTTGAACATATCGGAGCATCTGACACGATTGAAGTTGCAAACGAAATCGACTGCACCTTTTGGTCGGTGACGTCTCCCGCTGCTCTAACCGTCGCCTACTTTACATAGGACCGTTTTAGTTTTGGGTGCGTTGCTCGGTACGCAAAATGGTCGAGAAGTGGAGATTGTCAATAGCTTCGAACTTGCTACCGAAGCCGGGCGTGATGACATTGTAGATCACGGTTTCTTGACCCAAAGGAAGGATCAATGTATGTGCATGCTCGTCACCGAGTGACTTCCGTTGCCAATGTATCGTAGACAAGCAGGTTTTCCCCTCTCTGGAGTTCATCGGATGGTACACTGTTGCATCCACGGTCACTTCGCGACACATAGCACTCCACGAACAGGTATATTATCCATAGCTTCTAGCTGAGTGATTAACACTCGTTTCACAGTTTACAGGTTACTGCTCAACGCCACTTCTCCTTGTTCTCCAATGCTCTACAAGCTCGTCATCCTCCAGCGACATTACAGGTCAAGCCCTTCCCTTTAGGGCGTATGAACCCTCGGTTGAAATCAGGGAGAGGAGGACACGGTCCGTATTCATTGAAGTGCCGTTCAAGGTAGAAACCGGCGAGGCCGAGCGCATCGCTGTGGATTGGACCGCTAAGGGTGGTGGAGGAAGCACCAGTTGTGAGTGGTCAACACGGTGTAACTGACGTCCATCTCATGTTCGCAGTGGAATCGCATTTACATACACAACAGGCTGCCGTGAAGATGCTGCATGAAAGAATCTCGGTGCTCGTGCAATACGTAGCAAATGCCATCGCAGGTTCGAATTACCTTGATGTCTTTGTCTACAGTGAATTACGAGGCTTACTTCACTGTTGTAGGTCATGTTCCGAAAGACCATACCATCCTTCGATCACTCTCAGCCTTGATCGCTTCCCTTCCTGCCAGCGAGAACAACGCTTTCCGTGAGGAGTTCAATACTGTGAGTCTGGTTTTCTCTCAATTTAATACCGCATTACCTGGTACCTGCTGTCCGCTGCTTGACTCGTGTGTTAAGCGGTGTGTTATTACATTGTCACTCTGACTTTTCGGGTACAGGAATACGAGGATGTCAAACTCACAGCTTTCCTCTCCGTACTCACTCAATCCACGAACACGTTGAACAACGTGAGTCGCCGGGAGCCTTCCACCCAGAATGCACTGACCTCGGGGGTGCACAGCTCGTAGACAAGCACCTGATATTGAGTGGTGGCATGCGTGATGAGCGGCCCCTAATAGCTGGCCCACGAAGGCGAGTGGGAAGGCCTGGAGGTATGGCTGGAGACTGGTCCGCGCATGCCCGAGTCCCAT